GAAAAATGGTGGATTTTATTTTGGAGTTTTGCTATCAAAATGCCAAGTTCACCAACTTCAATTCCCTCCAAAATTTTCCACTACAGTATATGAGGGAAACAAAGTGCTGTTACATTTTGAAAAAAAGTGCAGAGGGCACAAATTCTTCCCCATAGTATTATAGAGACAAAGTAGTGCAGCAAGCATTATTTCTTCCCTTAAGTATTGTAGGAACAAAATAGTGCAGCAGACACTAATTCTTCCCTATAGTGTTGTAGGGACAAAATAGTGCTTGGTACTAATTTCTGCCTACATAGATAGGTCAAATTGTATATGTGTATAATAGTGCCTAGTGACACCATTATGTAGGAAGGAAATAGTGCATTTGAACACTTTCCTCCCTCTATAATCATGGTTTTTAAATTTAATGACATACTCTACCAATCGTAAAAAACAGACATACCCCAACACAAAAGCTTCAAAAACATTTGCAAAACAGCTGATGGCAATTAGATATACAAGTATAGAACAACCAAATACTTAGCTGTAGCAACAAGTGAAGTGGTGCTACAAGTTACAAAAAGTCTATCCATTCAGGAGTCATGCAATAAGTAAAATAGCTGTTTGGCTTGCTATTAATAGTACTACTTCATCTCATAACAAGACTTTTCCTTCAATTCCACTTAAGATGATTGACAATGAGCCACAACTCTCGTTATTGCCCTCACCGACGCCATAGGCGTATAGGAAAGGGTACTGCTCTCCTTAATTACATGTACTTCCCCTGCAACTCTTCTATAGACCATTCCCATCCACTAGCTATGCTTAACTAACACAGAGTTACATGAAATCATACCTTTTCCCAACTTTTCTTTCCCAAATGATGAAATCTTTCTTTTCTTAGGGTCCTCCTGTCAACTTTTCTTGTCTTAGCTCGTGTCTTTGGCATCTTCTATAGATACATCATACATCCTTGTTAGAAACATTCAATTCTACCTCAATTAGTAAACAAGGTCCAACAAAAGTAACTTGGATAAAACTGCGATACACAGTTAAAGTGAACAGTCAACAGTCTTATAGCCGCACCTACTCAAATTAATTGCATTATAGATAACAAACAGGAAGTGATATTGATGTGCCATATGCTCTTGACGCCGAATATGACTCATAGAGCATATGATGAATAATTTACACATGTGAATAAGCATGGCCATTAGCAATGAAGACTGATAGTGAGGAGTTGCACTTCATTTAGAGCCAAGTTCTCAGTTGGATGAGCTCCAGGTGAATACTTCTACCACCAAGTAGGTCAAATCACATTTATTTTGTGATGAAGTCAAAAGGGGATGAAACAAAAGCTCTAGAGACTATTGTGTATTACGTCAAACATAAGATGTTATTTTATATGCCTATAATAATAATTTTAATCAAAATTTAGGTTCAACAGATGCTTTTTGCCATCTATATTTACAAAGTTTTATCAACACCTTCACTCTTTCAGAACAAAATTCATCGTGTGCAAAGTTGGCATATTCCCTTCCTGTTTCTCACTTAATCATGTGAGACTAAATTATCATAAACTTTAATTCATAACAAAGTAATCATTTTCATGGAGACTGTAATAATATTCATTAATGCAATATTATATTTATAGCAAAACATTAATGCTGTCACTTGCTCGCAAAAGCTACAATAAATAGAATTATCAATAAAAACAAAACTGCATTTAGTAATGGAAAAATAGCAGTGCTATCTGGTAGAATCAATAATGGCAAGTTTCCTACTCGCTTATTTGTGAAATCCATGCTC